TCTTGGTCCTACTCAACTTGAAACCTTTAGACTCCAGGGCCTGCCTCCATACCTCCAGTCTCTTATTCACGCCACCTTTCATCTCATCAATCAGAACTATATCATCAGCGAACAACATACACCATGGCACCTCCCCTTGAATATGGTGTGTCAGTGCGTCCATCACCAGAGCAAATAAAAATGGGATGAGCGCAAATCCTTGGTGTAACCCCATAACCACTGGAAAAGGCTCTCAGTCCCCTCCCACAGTCCTTTTCCGAGTCTTAGCTCCATCATACAAATCCTTTATTGCACTAATATAAGCTACCGGCACACCTTTCACCTCCAGGCATCTCCAAAGAACGTCCCTAGGGACCTTGTCATACGCCTTCTCTAGATCAATAAATACCATATGCAAATCCCTCTTCTTATCTCTGTACTATTCTACCAACCTCCTGATAAGGTGGATAGGTTCCGTTGTAGAACGACCTGGCATGAACCCGAACTGGTTATCTGATATTGACACCGCCCTCCTTACCCTCCCTTCCACCACCTTTTTCCAAACTTTCATGGTATGACTTAGTAACTTAATACCCCTATAGTTGTTACAATTCTGGATATCCCCTTTGTTCTTGTACAGCGGGATCATCGTACTCCACCTCCACTCATTTGGCATCCTTTTCATCCTGAAAATAACATTAAACATCTCAGTCATCCACTCCAAACCTGCTCTACCCACATACCTCCAAAATTCCACTAGAATCTCGTCTGGTCCAGTCGCTTTGCCCTGGCTCATCTTACGCATTGCTCCCACGACCTCCTCCACCTCAATACGTTCACAGTACCTAAAGTCTTGGTGACTCTCGGAGTGCCCCAATTCCCCTAACTCGATGTTTATGTCTCCTTCTTCATTCAGAAGTCTTTGAAAATACGATTGCCATCTCTGCTTAATTTGGGCTTCTTCCATCAAACACGACCTTCCTCATCTTTGATACACCTCACTTGCTCTAGATCACAAGCCTTCCTCTCTCTCGCTTTGGCCAGCCTAAATAACTTCTTGTCCCCACCTTTACCCCCCAGCTCCTCATACAACTGCCCAAACGTAGCCGTCTTAGCCTCCGTGACCGCTACTTTCGCCTCCCTCCTTGCTTCCTTATACCTTTCTCTATTCTCTCTCATCTGCTCCTCGTCGGTGCTCTCCACTAACTTAAGGTAAGCCGCTTTCTTTGCTTCCACTTTACTCTGGACCACGTCATTCCACCACCAGTTGCCTTGGTGCCCACCTGAGTATCCCTTCGAGACCCCTAATACCTCTCTCGTCGCCTCCCTTATACAATCCGCCATCGCCGTCCACTTACCGCTAGCATCTCCACCACTCTTCCAGGCTCCCATCGTTGCCAACTTCCCCTCCAACTCCAGTGCAGTATCCTTAGTCAAGGCTCCTCACCTGATCCTTAGTTGACCCCGTACAAACCTCTTCTTCCTCTTTATCAAGATACCGATGTCTATCACCAAGAGTCTATGTTTTGTCGCGAGGTTCTCACTCGGGATCACCTTACAATCCTCGCATAGCCCCTTATCACACCTCCCGAGGAGAAGATAATCAATCTGAGTCTTAGCCACCATACTCCGGAAAGTAATCAAATGCTTCTCCTTCTTCGGAAAAATAGAGTTCACGATCACCAACTCAAAAGCTCTAGCGAAATCCAACAGTGAAGTGCCTCCTCCATTCCTAACCCCACAGCCGAAGCCGCCGTGTACCTCACCATAGCCACTAGCAGATGACCCAATATGCCCATTGAAATCCCCTCATATAAATAACTTCTTTGTAGGCGGAGTACCCCGCACCACCTCATCCAACTCCTCCCAAAATCGCCTTTTAACCTCTTCGTCTAAACCCACTTGCGGCGCGTAAGCACTAATAACATTCAGAGTGCTTCGTCCAACTACTAACTTAATCGCCATCAATCTATCGCTCACATTCCTAACCTCTACCACTGACTCTCTAAGCTCCCTATCCACCAAAATACCCACTCCGTTCTTTCTCTTCACGCCTCTAGAGTACCACAACTTATACCCGTCGGCATTCCTCGCCTTCGATCCTACCCACCTAGTCTTCTGAACACAAGCTATATTTACCTTTCTTTTCTGGAGAATCTTCGCCAGCTCTATAGACTTACCCGTCAATGTCCCTATATTCCACGATCCAATTCTCAATCTATAGGCACCCATGTTCCTGTTACCCCCCTATGGTCCCCGTCCTACCCCCTGACCCTTGCCCTAATCCCCGCCCCGCCACCCGCCCTCCCCGAGGATATGATCCTACATTGCCATTACAAACCACATCCATTATACCTACGGAAGTCTATGTAAAAAATGGGAATATAGGTCCACTACTAAATTAACTGAACTAATTACGTACTACTTCGATAACAAATCAACTAAGACAGGAGAGAGAGAAACAGGAGGCGGGAGGTACCAATTCCCGCAAATATAACCTGGACTTTCAACTTGGTATACTCCAGATGCTGTAGAACCCAATGTTTTGTCCTTGTTCCTGCTAACCGACCTGCTTTGCTGCTTTTGTACGTGCGCCTTCCTCCCGTCACCAAACAACCACAAAAATGTTACCTGCAGCACTCACAACACACCATGGAACCAAGAAAAATAGATGATGGTAGGGCTGTCACCCTCACCATAAGTGGCCCAATTGAACTCGAAGCAGAGACGCAGCGGACAGAGAAAGGTATAAAGAAAAGAAGACAAAAGGAACGGCGTCGGCGTGGGGTGGTCGCTGGACTACTCGTCGTTCNTGCCCATCACGCCGGAGCCGACGCTAAAGTAACGGTCGAAAATAATGACTGCGTAAGAGAGACGAGACAGTGGTATGAAGAATGTGAAGGACTTATTATTTATAAAGGAAAATAAGGTAAATGAAAAAGATATGACCGAGCCTTAGTTTTAGGCAGCCTACATTATCCCGGGTTATAAGGGAATCATGTCACGTGTAGTTTAAGTGGAAGAAGAGTGAAGGAGTATACTTAGAGGGAGAGTCGAGTGAAGTTCCTTCGAGGTTCCGATCCGCAGCTCCTACTATTACATCAAAAGAAAAAGTAAATTACATACTCTTGAAATCTAAGAGTTACAAAATTCCTATCTAAATGCCATCTCGAGTCTTGTCTTGATTCTTGACTTGCTTCCCCCATTGACTTTAGACTGAAACTTGATGTTCTCGATGCAACAGACTAGGAAATATTCTCACAGGCCTGTTTCTTAATCAGATGATGAGAAGATGGATCTTGAAATCCTATGTCTCTCTGCATGCATTATATCAAAGCGGGTTTGGCTGGTATTGAGATCAAATGTTCCACTTTCGCTAGCGAGAGCTGGAATCTTATTTTTGCACATCCAATCCGTACTTTGTAGAAAAACTTGAAAGCCATCAGAAACAAACAAAACGAACAAAAATTGTGTGCCCCAGTTTGCACTAGAAAATTTTTGTGAGTTATTGAAAATACAATAAACTATCTTTCTATTGCAAAATAAAGAATTGAAAAAGAAATGAGAGAATTTTTTATTTTTTATTTTTATTATATATATATATATATATATATATAATATTTTATAATAGGGATTGTCGTACCCTATGTTAACAAGAAGGAAGGCAACCAGGGGATGTAGTACCCTGTGTTGAGAATAAGATGAGGCTCGTGGTAGTCTAGGATGCTACTAGGGAATGTCATACCCTATGTTTGCAACAAGAAATGCAACCAAGGGATGTAGTAGCCTGTGTTGGAAATAAGGTGATCCTCTTGGCACTCTGGGATGCTACTAGGGAATGTCGTACCCTATGTTTGCAATAAGAAATGAAATCAGGGGACGTAGTTCCCTGTGTTGGCAATAAGGTAAGGCTCTTGGCACTCTGGGATGCTACTAGGGAATGTCGTACCCTATGTTTGCAACAAGAAATGCAACCAGGGGATGTAGTACCCTGTGTTGGCAATAAGGTGAGGTTCTTGGCACTCTGGGATGCTACTAGGGAATGTCGTACCCTATGTTTGCAACAATAAATGCAACCAAGGGATGTAGTACCCTGTGTTGGCAATAAGGTGAGGCTCTTGGCACTCTGGGATGCTATTAGGGAATGTCGTACCCTATGTTTGCAATAAGAAATGCAACCAGGGGATGTAGTACCCTGTGTTGGCAATAAGGTGAGGCTCTTGGCACTCTGGGATGCTACTAGGGAATGTCGTACCCTATGTAGGAAGAAAGTAATGCAGCCAGGGGATGTAATACCCTATGTTGGCAATAAGATGAGGCTCGTGGAAATCTGGGATGCTACTAGAGAATGTCGTACCATATGTTGGCAATAAAATGAGGCTCGTGGCGCTATGAGATGCTACTAGGGAATGTTGTATCCTATGTTGGCAGAAAGTAATGCAGCCAGGGGATGTAATACCCTATGTTGGCAATAAGATGAGGCTCGTGGAAATCTGGGATGCTACTAGAGAATGTCGTACCCTATGTTGGCAATAAAATAAGGCTCGTGGCGCTCTGAGATGCTACTAGAGAATGTCGTACCCTATGTTGGCAACAAGTAATGCAACCAGGGGATGTAGTACCCTATTTTGAAGATAGGGTATTGATTCCCTATAATGAAACTAAAAATAACATGTTTACATGTATATTGGAAGAAAATCAAGGATTTGAGAATTTCACTTGGTGGTGTTTGTCTTTTCACGAACTATTTCTTAAATTGTTGTGTTCTTGTTCTGAACAAAGAAAGATTTGTTAGTTTTACAATGGAGGTGTAACGACCCGGCCACTCGTTTTGAGAGTAATAGCCCTGATCCCCTATTAACTGTCTTCCCCAAATCATTTTCTGCTATTGTGACTTGCCGGGATGATTGATTTTGAGTTTTAGAGTGTTTTGAGACACTTAGTCCCTAAATGAGAGCTTAAGACTTAGTATTTGGACCGTAGTCAAAACTGTGTGAAGACGACTCCGGAATGGAATTTCGTCGGTTCCGTTAGTTCCGTTAGGTGATTTTGGGTTTGGGATCATATCCGGAATGTGTTTTGGGGGTCTGTAGTAGATTTTGACTTGAATTGGCGGAAGCTAGTTTTTCGGCGATGTCGGCCGATAGTGGAAATTTTGATATCGAGCTTGGAATGGAATTCCGAAAGTGGTTGTAGGTTCGTAATGTCATATGTGACCTGTGTGTAAATTTGAGGTCATTCGGACTAGATTTGATGTGGTTCGGCGTCGTTTGTAGAATTTGGAAAACTTTAAATTCTTAGGTTTGAATCCGTGATTAATTCATGATTTTGGTGTTGTTCGACGTGGTTTAAAGGCTCGACTAAGTTCGTAAGGTGTTTTAGGATTGGTTGGTATGTTTGGTTGAGGTCTCGGGGGCCTCGGTGTGTTTCGGATGCTTAATGGGTGAAAACTAGGACTTAGAGAAATTTCTAAACTTTGCTGGTTCTAGTGTTTTCGCACCTGCGTAAAAGAGACCGCAGGTGTGCGAGCCGCACATGCGGATATGGAAGCGCAGATGCGATAAATTGAGAGTTGGCCTGGGGTCGCAGGTGCGAGGAAGTTTCCACATCTGCGATGCCCGCAAATGCGCAAGGATGTTCGCACATGCGCAAGATGCGCAGAAGCGGAAGGGACTCCGCAGGCGCGAGGGCGCAGATGCAGCCCTTTCGTCGCAGGTGCGAAGGCAGAGGGGGTAAGTGAGTTGCACAGATGCGCACGTTTTCCACACAAGCGCACCCGTAGGTGCGGAAATACCTGGGCAGTGATTAAAACTGAAGGGCTTCACGACTTTTATCATTTTTGGCTTTGCAAACTCGGGTTGGGGCAATTTTTGAGAGCATTTTTAAGGCATTTCTTGAGGTAAGTTCCTTGTGCTTATTTTTGGTCAATAATATTGCCTTGCCATGTATTTTCCTACCTAGTTAATGTGTATTTAAGGTGGAAATTGGAAGTTGGAGACTAGGGATTTGGGGGTTTGAATTGTGGATTGGAGGACCATTTGGTGTCGGATTTTAGTAAATTTGATATGGTTAGACTCGTGAGTGAATGAGCTTCCTAGTTTCGTGAATTTTGTCGGGTTTCAAGACGTGGGCCCCGGGGGCCGGGTTTGAGCCAATTTCGGATTTTGGCCTAATTTTATAGTTTTTCTTGTGGGA